AAAATATAAACTTCTATAAACTCATAAACTAGTGCTATTTCCATATATGGCCTTCTTTAAAAAATCAATGTTGTATCAGTATAATGCTTTTAGTAGTTGCACTCCCCTGAATTACCTAGCAGGATATGTACATATTTCCCCTACTCTCTTTTATAATGATAAAAAAGTAAAGACACTGCTGAAAGAAGTCATTTAACTGATAGAAAAATGAGAAATAAATGGAAGGATTTGAAATAGCTCTTTAATTTTGGTGGAAGGTACTTTCCTTATGAAAATTAGTATTTCTCCAGAGTGGAATAATTTCCTATTTAAAGCTTCAGTTGACTTGGCCTGGTTATAATGTGTGAAAGAGATTCAAATGGCTTATTGAGGGGGGTTGCACAGAAACAAGTCCAAACAAAGCAGAATTCCCTTCGAATTGTTCCGTCCAAGTTTCCTTGGTCCAGATGGCTCCAATAGCCAGCCAGAGGCCCCACCCACACCTTCCCACACCCGCGGGGTGCTGGCCCTGAACACACACTAATGACCCTCAGCTGTTTTGGCTCCCATGCTTGCTTGCTCTTCCTGCTTGGCTACCCAACCTCACATCTCCTGCAGAGGGAAAGAAACAGGAGTGGGAGTGGTGGGCGGGGGGGTGGTATTTAAGAAAAAGTCATAACTTTGGGAAAACAGGATTCGAGTTGGTGCATCAGTTTCCAATTGCTGCTATGACAAATTACCCAAACACAGTGGCTTAAAACAACACAAGTGTATTATCTTACAGTTCTAGAGGTCAGAAGTTGGAAATGGCTCTTAGCGGGATAAAATCAAGGTGTCAACAGGGCATTCCTGTTGCATTCCTTGTGGAGGCTCTAGGAGAGAATTCTTTCCTTCCCTGTTCCAGCTTCTAGAGGCTACTTACTTTCCTTGGCACGTGGCTACCTCACTGTGATCTCTGCTTCTCTCTTTGAATCTCCTTCTCTGGCACTGACATTCCTGCCTCCCTCTTATCAAGATCTTTGTAATTACATTTGGCTATCCAGATAATCCAGGATAATTTCCCATCTCGAGATCCTTAAATTAACCATATCTTCAAAGTCCCTTTTGCCATGTAAGGTAACATATTCACAGGTCTTAAAGATTAGGACATGGACATCTTTGGGGCACCATTATTGTGCCTACCGCCATTTTTTTTCTTTCTTTGACACTACTATCAGATACTATAATAGCTATACCTATACACAAAATCATACACACATACACAAAACCACATATATAAATGTACTGAATGAGGTGAACCAGTAAGTCCATTATAACTTAAATCGGTCATAGAGTAATATACATGGTTATTATAACAGGCTAATGATAACTAATCTCTAGCACTTCATTCATGGGAAGATATTAAACTGAGGGCCAATAGCCTGTGGAAGGCCTGCACAGCACTCCCCTCTGAACATTGCCCAAGACTCTTCGTCACTGAAAAACACAAAAAGCCTAATGAATTTGCAGTGCTGTCAGGGAGCTCTGTGTCATTATGATGTGCCAGTAGATGACCTATCAGCCTATGAAGTGTATCTGTTTTGTAGTCGGTGCGGCACTTCAGCTGCCAGCCTCAGAAAGAGTAGATCCCAGGAAAGAGGTCTCCAAGCAGAGAAGGCTCACATTTATAAAAATCATCTTCCTCAGTGTGATTAGCACAGAACTCACACAGGACCTCAGGGAAATATCTTCAGTGGAATGAAGGAATTGCAGTGATTAAATGCAACAAAGTCATATGACATGTTATGTTAAAATGAGAAAGGAATGGGTTATAAGGGAAATTACAAGGCAAATATTAGCATATAACAGGGATTGAAGATAAATACAAAAGAGGAGATATTAGGTTTGTAGTCCATTCAATTCAGTTCAAATAGAAGCTGTCTGATGATAATGTCCTCGGCCTCTTCCCGCAAAATACACTGCCTAGCTATTTCTGTGCTATTAGCTTGGCCCCCAATACCATATAAGGTTTAACCACCCATGCTCATCCAGGCCTAACTCTTCTCCTGTGACTGGAGTCAATGCCCTCCAACCTACCCATGATTTTCTTCCTGCAAATATCTCCTACCTCCTCAACTTTGATTTTCCCCCCTTTTGCCTCATTTTCATCATCATACAAGCATGCTAAAACATCTCCCATCTTTTAAAGGCCCTGCTTTTACCCCAGATCTCCCCCATCTACTGCTCCATTTCTCTACTCCCCTTTAGATCTCTCAGAAGCATCTGTATTCACTGTCACCATTTTCTCATCTCCCACTTTCTCTTTAACCTATTTCAACGCAGCTTTTGTACCCACTTTCCCTGAAATCCCATCTATCAAGGTCCTCAATTACCCCCATACAGCAAATCCAATGGTCTAGTCATAGGCCTCATTTTTCTTGACCTCTTGACAATAATGACCAACTGATAGGATGATACACTCTCCTGATTTTACTCCTATCTCACTGATCAGTCCTTCCCAGTTTCCTTCAATGGATTCTCCCTGTCTTTTTTTTCTCTGTAAGACAGCTCCAAGCTCAGTTTATCGGTACTCATTTCAGAAATGATCTCATCCACTCTCATGGCTTTACATATGTCTACATGAAAATAAGTCCCAACTGGATACCTCCAACATGTCCAAAAATGCATTCTCAATTCCTACCTGCTATGGTTCGAATATTTGTCCTCTCCAAAACTCACGTTGAGATTTAATTGCCATTATAACAGTTTTAAGAAGCAGGGCCTTTAAAAGGTGATTAGGTCATGGGGACACTGTCCTCATGAATGGATTAAGGCTGTCATCTTGGGAGTGTGTTAATTATTGCAGGAGTGGATTCTTGATAAAAAGGATGAGTTCTGCCCCCTCATTCTCTTGCTTGCCCTTACCCTCCTCCCTCTAGTTCATGCTGTGGCCACATGATGCCTCCTGACATGCCCTCACCAGACGCTCGCACCATGCTTTTGGACTTTGCAGTCTCCAGAACCATGAGCCAAATAAACTTTTCTTTATAAATTACCCAATCTGTGGTATTCAGTTATAGCATCATAAAATAGACTAAGACACCCCCAACCAAACTTACCTCTCCCCCAGTTTTTTCCAGTGCAGTAGATGGTACCACAATCCACCCAGTTGCTCAACCTAAAATACTTTGATTATTTTTTGAGCCCTCTCTTTATTTCACACCCCACATCTAAATTGATTAGCAATTCTGATCAAATTTATACCGAGAATAATCCGGAATCTGACCACTTCTCTCTTCCACCACATCACTTTAGTCTAAGCTTTTCTACCTCTACCTCTACTTTACCTCTCACTTAGAATCATGAAATAAAGTCCTTCATAGTCTCCCTTTTTCCACTCTTGTCCCATTTAATCTATTTTCCAGATAACATTCATATTCATCCTTCTAAATCCTAAACCAAAGCAAGTCATGTCCTTTCTCAAAGTCCCTAAATGGACTGCCATCACACTCTGCAGCCCTGCGGGTCAGCTGGGCAGTGCTGCCCCAATCACACAGCAGCTCCATGGCTCTCCGCAGCACCAGCTGGCCACCACTTTGTTGTCTCTCCAGCCTCTCTGCTTTGATAATCTTTCTCTAGAGAAGCTCACCTGTTTATCTAACCCCTTTCTGTACAACACTGGTATAAAAGGCCTCAGCACATCACTGTTTCTTGAAAAGCTGGCTAGTTGGTTTGTATTAATTTATTAGCAAACCTTTCTCAGGAACCTAAGCAACTCTTCTATCCTGGATGGGTGGGGTATTAATGATTTAACATAAGGTCTGTAGTTCTCTCATTCCTTGAACATTATTGACTCACAGTACAACAGTCCCACTCTTTCACGGTAAGAGTTAAGGAAATATTATCTTTAGGAAATATTATCTTTGGTGACAATTATTATTTAACATTCGAAAGCTAATTTTTAATGTTTATTTGCTCTTATAAACATGCTGACAGTGACTTACCTATAAATATTTGCCTAAAAAAATGCTTTAAAGTTGATTTATGTTCCCTTTAGATGTCTCTAGACTTCTCTTGAACCTTAGAGGACATTATTTTTTTAGTCAGACTATAAACATATTCCAGTGCATATATTCTTTGGGAAAATAATATCACCTTTAAAAAATTTTTAACTTGGTAACTTCCATAGACATGCAGGGAAAAGATGATAGGATTTCTTTTTTTTTTTTTTTTTATTTCAGCATATTATGGGGGTACGGATGTTTAGGTTACGTGTGTTGCCCTTGGTTCCCCCCCCCAAGTCCGTGTTTCAAATATGTCCATTCTAAACCTAGCCCTTTATGATACCGAGAACTCACTGGACAATTTTTTAGTTTTAGCAAAGATGAACACAATTTTGAAGTAATATAACTAAAAAGTTACAAGAATGCTGATTCTATCAGCCAAGCTGGACTTAACGTTACTGTTAGTCTGACTAAACTTAGGCAGGCAGGCTTCTTCCTGACTTCAGCCCCCTGCCTTTTTTTAGAGCATTTACTTTAGAGAACTTGTAATTGTGTATTCTTTCTCTGTCCCTTTGAGATGTAAATCTTTTTAAAAGATTCCTGCCAATTTTATACCCAGGAATGTCTAATGTCTTTCTCAAGGACCTTAGAGCCATCCCTTTGAAATGTAATATCAAGGAAAACAGTGCCTTGTTTTCCAGTCTCAGTGGGAGTGTAGGAGCCTAACTTTGGTGGGCACCATTTAGCAAACACAGATAGTCTGATTGCAGAGGAAAACATTTGCAAACTGAGGAATAATTCAATGTTCATCCCATTAATCAACCTCCCAGCTTAAATCCTCTAGTTCTTTCCCACCAGCTCACCCAAGCACTCAAAAACTCTCCCTCCCTTTGCTTCAGCAGAGTTGAGTTCAGTCTCTCTCTCCTATGGCAGTAGTCATGAATAAAGTCCTCCTTGCATGTTTCACTTTGCTCAGTGCAGTCTTTACTTTGACACTACAATCCCAATACTGGAGATGACTAAGCTTTCAGTACTCACAGGCTTACCATCTTGACCGGGTTGTCCAGGGTAGCCAGGGTTCCCAGGCAGTCCAGGGTCACCCTAGGCAGAAAAAAAAATTCTCAGTACAAAACAACCAACCACACTGGTGCAATCAGAACCCATCAATTCCATTGTTTGAGGCTTTTGTATGTTAAAAACAAATGTCCAAACATAGGGTTAGAAAAATTATGCCATGTTTTAGAAACCTACCTTTTAGGTGTTTAAAATAAGAACTTTTATCATATAAATCTTTCAGTGTTTTATTTCTGTGAGCACGCCAGGTATAACAAGTAAAGTATTTTTCACTGATGCAAAATGTCAATATTTTTGACAGGGTACATTTTTAGAATTTTGAACAAAGTGTGAAGTGTCATAGCAAATATGGTTTCCATTGACAGCAATATTTGACTCATAAGTCTATAGACGTAATTCTGTCCTAAATGTTGCACCACAAATATCAATGTCCTACAATGCAATAATTCAACTCATAATTATTTATTTAAAAAATAATCCATAGACCATGTGATCTCACATGTAGGAATCAAGGTTAAAGCTGCATAGCAGTCACTTCTTTTAATCCTGTCAATCTGTCGCTTTGTCTATATTTATAATCTCAAATTTTAACATAATGTTAAAATCCTAAAACTTTAATATTTTTGTGAGAGCAAAGCCCAGGCCAAACAACTCTTTCCCGATCCCCATAGCCCTTGAGTACATGTAAAGCTTAAGAAATGAAAAAATGACCTTTATCCTCACAAACCTAAGATCTTCAAAGAACACTGTTCCATACAATATAGCAATGACCCCAGGTACATTCTATGGAACTCTAATATGTCCAGTGGGTAGTACTGGCCATTCAGGCGGTCACCACCCATGTAGAAAAGCAATGGAAGCAACACTTTTTGTGAGGTAAGCGTATTTTATTGATATTAATATAATTTAATTCTAAGAAATAATAAAAATATCATATTCATCTATCCTTGAGTCCATGAAATCCACAGGGGGCATCTTGCTGAAAAATATGAAGTCTTTACCATCAGTATCGGTACATTCCTACACAGAGGCAATTGATTTTCATTCAATAATTCTTCATTATTTTTATCAAGACATCACTCACATAGGACCCCAGTGATTAAGGGTATTTTTACAGAGCCAAATTTGCTGGTCTGAAAGAGTACTTCAGACTCCTGGCTAGGGAGATTTGTTTCTGAAACATAACAGGAAAAATGGAAGGAACTAAGCGAACCGTATTAAGGAACCAGTAAAGAAGGGATGGGCTATTAATCACTTAGCAGCTGCCCTGCAAGAGGCTTATAAATGGGGAAAGGCAGAGAAGAGGGAAGTATCTTTTTTAAAAGAGAGCAAGAAGAGCTGTAAATTCGGAGTTAGGGGGAGGAGGAAATAATGCTGAAACATGTAATGTCTTGCTGAAGAGATATAATCTGTAATTCTAATCCGAGGATATGCAGTGTTGTCTGGGTGTTCGGGAGGAACTTTTAGGGCCTATAGGGAGTTAGAAATTCCATCTCCTTATTTTGAGAAGGTCTTCATTAATTTCCAGTCTGCCTGTCATCCTTCCTTACCCATGTTCAGATTGGACTCGCTGCCTTTCAAAAAATTCCATCTTTTTCTTCTCCTAGGAAAAAAAATTTTCTTCCGCTTCCACTTAAGAGTCAACATGACAAAATTCTCTATCACTGTAACTTTCTTGTTATTGAAGTTTTTCCTGGTGTCTTTTTCTATTGAAACACTACAGCAGCTCCTAGATCACTTATTCATAGCTAGTGTTTTCTCAAAGTTTCCATTGGTTAGTCTTTATTTATCACTTGGACTGAGGCTCCACAACAAGGTTTATATTTTCTACTTTTTTTTTGCACAACGCTGGGTATCAAGTAGAGATTCAATTTATGACTAATTTATTTCAAATCACATCTCTTGACAATGACTTGCTTACTTGCAAAATATTAATGTCAGCTAAACCTAGGATATCAAAAGGATCCGAGAAGGTTTAACGTCTATTAATATTATAATGAGGCTGAAATCGAATTTTGGCACAAGAAAAGGGACTTGTGTTTTTATGCTGCATGATATTATGACATACTTAATAATATTTTAAATTAATCAAAATTAAGTTCCCAAGTGAAAATATCACCCACAAGATAAATCCAATGTGACTTCATAAGGACTATAAGACTGGTCAACAGCCTCAAGAGGGAAAATAATCCTTACGTAGGTTCTATTATTACTGTTAGATTTTACTGGTTTTTTAGCTATTGCCTTCAATGAATTATTTATAAAAAACTGCTGGTAGGTTTCGTGTTGTTTCCACAAAATTGGAAGAATAAATTTAGTTGATTAGAGAGGAGGCCAATTATAACAAAAATTTAATTTTATTACTATAATATTATTTCAGAATATTGTGGGGTTACAAACATTTTGGTTACATGAATTGCTTTTATACAGTTTGAGTCAAAGTTATAAGTGTGTCCATCATCCAGATAGTGTGCATTGTACCTGTTAGGTGTGAATTTACCCATTCCTTCCTTCCCCCTTCTACCTATTAATTGTTTATTATATGCTAAGCACTGATCTAAAAGATTTACATACATTCAATCATTTAATTCTCATAATAATCCTATGAAGCTGGGATTCTTTTATTTCAGAATATTATGGGGGTACGAACATTTTGGTCACATATAATGCCCTGGCCTCGCCCAAGCCAGGATTCCAAATATGCCCTTCCCCCATACAGTGTACTCCACTGACCAGCACCCAAATACTATTACTACTATGTGAGTACCTTAGTGTTGATCAGTTAGTACCAATTTGATGGCGAGTACATGTGGTGCTTG